TTTTTGTCAAGAAATTTTTATGTGGGTAGTGCCATTAGAATTTTGAGGGGAGTCAAAATAAAAAAGTCTACCTTATGAAAATTGGACTTGGCCACGAGGCGGTTTTTGACCAATGGAAGCTCAAAATAAAAAAGTGAAGATATTTTCGGATTCCTCGATCTCGATAACCTATACCTTCATCAGAAATGTGAAAGGAGTTGAAGTATAATGTTTAACGTTGCAATCTGTGGAAATTGGGAATCGGTCCAGGGTCATCGCTGAAAACGTCCTTTTACGATATTTTGAACTGGAATCATATTCTACTTTTTGTGAAATATTCAAGAATTTGAAAAGTACGGAAACCTTTTACAAATTGCGAAAACCTCGGAAACCGATGTCGGTTTTCTAGAGTACTTTTCTGACAGTTGGTTACGCTCGGAAACCGAAAAGGTTTGCGAGTCTGGACTTCGGAAACCGAAAGGGTATTCTCGCATACCCATTCGGATACCAAGGCAGTTTTTCAGGCAATAGTAGTTTCCGAGAATACCTTTACGGTTTCTGAGAAGAGGATTTAGTTCCCGACATCAAGAAAAAGGTTTTCCAGAATACCTTACGGGCATTGAAATCGGTATTCTAGGAAACCACAGGGTTTTCGAGGTCTCGGAAACCGAAAAGGTATTTTTGGAAACGGTTGAAGTTCTTGGAAACCCCCTCGCAAACGGTTTTAGGTTTCCGAATGGGTTTCCGAAGTGGTTTGGGTTTTGTAGGAAACGGTTTTTTTTTAGAGAGTTCGTGTGCAAAATGCTCGATTTCTGTAGATAGTATAGATAACATGATGGTGTATAGATTCCAGTTGATTTTTTGTATGTAACGTTGTTGGTGTTTGAGAACAATATTATTAAATTCAGCGAGAATTGGATAATGATCGCTTCCATTGTATGGTAGCTGATTACATTGCACAGAAGCTTCTTGTTCGGTTGAAATAACTAAATCGATAGTTGTTTTTGACCGTAGAGACGTTAACATTGCTGGATTGTGAATATGTAGTTTGTTTGATTTTAACCAGGTTTCAAGTTCACGACCTTTTTGATTTACTTGTGTACAGCCCCAGGTGGTATTCTTTGCGTTAAAATCACCAAGTATGATGCTTGTCTGCGAATTTTGTAAAACGTTTGTGAGTATTTGGAGTGGTAATTTTTCTGTTGGCGGAGAGTATGTCGATATAATTGAGTACGATTTGTTGTTTACCAATATCGATGCAGCGATTACTCTCTAAAAAAAAACCGTTTCCCAGAAAACCCTTAGAGGGTTTCCGAGTTTGTTACTATCTGAAACCCTTTAAGGGTTTCCGAGACATGGTTTCCGAGGTCTCGGAAACCCAAAAACCAAATAAAAATTTTCTTCGGATACTAACCTCGGAAACCGATTAAAGGTTTCCGACGTTGCATTTTTCTCGGTCTGAATCAAGAACCACCAGATTGCTCTAGCCGAGGTCGATCGTTCCGCCCACCGGATCCTGCAGAAACCGACAGGAAAGACGCCTGAAAATCACCCTATTCCGTAGGAAAACAGATGATATCGCTGGAACATGGAAGCAATATTCCGCCCGGAAACTTTCACAAATTTTTTCCTATGACTTTCAACGCATCTTGCCAAAAAAGACAGCAAGTTCGTCGGAACTCACTAGAAAAATTTGTGAAAGTTTGCTAGTGGAGTAGTGCTACCATGTTACAGCGATATCATCTGTTTTCCTACAGAATACGGTGATTTTCAGGCGTCTTTCCTGCCGGTTTCTAAGATCCGGTGGGCAGAACCATCGACCTCGGATGTTGGATCTAAAAAGAAATAATATACTTCATCAGTATTTAACTTTCAAAAATCGAACTCACCATTCATAATTAGTTCATCGGACAATCGATCTAAATAGAAATAAATATTTCATTTCGTTTCAACTTTTAAAATCAAACTTACCACTAATATTTGTTCCTCTCAAAATTGGTCTAAACAGAAATAAAATGTTTTAGCAGCAATTAAGTTTCACAATCGAACTCACCATTATTCTGTTTTCATCTGACGTTTGATCTAAACAAAAATAATATTTTTTTATCACGTTTTAATATATAAAATCTAACGCACCATGAATATTTGGTCACGAGATAATCAATCTAAATGGAAATAAATATTTCATTCCGTTTCAACTTTTAAAATCAAACTTACCATTATGATTTGTTCAACTCTCGTTTGATCTAAATAAAAATAAATACTTCATGCGATTTTACGTTTTAAGTCGAGCTCACCATTAATATTTGTTCATCTGACAATTCATCTAAATAAAAACACAACATTTCATCAGGTTTTAACATTTAAAGTTAAACTCACCTGTAATTATTTGTTCCATTAACCTTTGATCAAAATAAAAATTAAAGAACGTAACGATTGCCTCTTCGACTCACTTGGCCTTCGACTGAATAACAATGAACCATTTTCTGCAGACACTGACATAGATAAAACAAATCTCTTAATTTCAACTCTGAAAAGGGACCCAAACTCCTTCTGAGTTGTAAATCAAAGCAACATTTTCATTGTAGAATACAATATTTTTATCTAAGCGCATCTTCTAACTAAAAGTTGTCAAGAAAGAAAACCATCTAAATCCACGTCCACTTTAATTATTGAACAATTGCACCACACAAACATATTACGATAATATGAGATCCTAGCGCATGCCTATGCATTATCAACAAGAATCTTCAGGAAAAAAACCCTTTATTACAACGATCAAAAAACTCGTTTTTGACAGATCCAATTTCTGACCAATGTGAACTCGAATTTAAAAAGTGAGGATATTTTCGGATTTCTCAACCTCGATAACCTACGACAAACTGCTGTCAAAATTTTGATGGGAGTGGAAATAAAAAAGTCTAACTTATGAAATTTGGACTTGTGCTGGAGCCATTTTCTGACCAATGGGAACTCGAATTTAAAAAGTGAGGATATTTTCGGATTCCTCGACCTCGATAACCTACGACAAACTGCTGTCAAAATTTTGATGGGAGTCGAAATAAAAAAGTCTACCTTATGAAATTTGGACTTGTGCGCGAGCCAATTTCTGACCAATGGGAACTCGAATTTAAAAAGTGAGGATATTTTCGGNTGATCTTACGATCTGTGCTCGAGCCAATTTCTGACCAATGGGAACTCGAATTTAAAAAGTGAGGATATTTTCGGATTCCTCGACCTCGATAACCTACGACAAACTGCTGTCAAAATTTTGATGGGAGTTGAAATAAAAAAGTCTACCTTATGAAATTTGGACTTGTGCGCGAGCCATTTTCTGACCAATGGGAACTCGAATTTAGAAAGTGAAGATATTTTCGGATTCCTCGACGTCGATAACCGATTTCAAACTGCCATCGGAAATGAGAATGGAGTTGAAATATAATGTCTAACGTTGCAGTACCTGAAATATGGGATCGGTCCAGGTTCATCGCCAAAAACTTCCTTTTACGATATTTTTAACTGGGATCATGTTATATTTGTTTGTGAAATATTCAAGAGTTTGAAAAGTACGGAAACCTTTTACAAATTGAAAAAATCTCGGAAACCGGTTTTGGTTTTCCAGAATACTTTTTCGACACTTGGTACGCTCGGAAACCTTTTCGGTTTCCGAGTCTTGACTTCGGAAACCGAAATGGTATTCTCGCATACCCATTCGGATACCAACTCAGTTTTTCTGGCAATAATAGTTTCCCAGAATACCTTTACGGTTTCTGAGAATACGATTTGGTTTCCGACATCAAGAAAAAGGTTTTGTAGAATACCTTACGGGCATTGAAATCGGTATTCTAGGAAACCGGAGGGTTTCCGAGACTTCGGAAACCGAAAAGGTATTCTTGAAAACGGTTGAAGTCCTCGGAAACCCTCTCGCAAACGGTTTCAGGTTTCCGAGTGGGTTTCCGAAGTGGTTTGGGTTTTCTAGGAAACGGTTTTTTTTTAGAGAGCAGAATCAACAAAACCAATAACAACAAAATATAGACTGTCTGATATCAAATCTGCAGTACAGCGTCATGAATACGAGAATAAACATAATATTGACTGGAAAAATTGGTCTGTAGTTAGCAGAGACAGACATTCATATCGCCTACTGATCAGAGAATCCCTAGCAATAGCTGAGACTCAACCATCTCTGAATGCCACAACTCGTTCTGTTCCACTCCTGATATATCCGGAAGGATGTCCAAGAAATCACAACAACATGGATAAGCAATTCAAAGAGAACAAAAAGCGACAATAAATCGAGATCCTTTCCATAACCCATCCTCTCTATGTATATTCACCATTTATTAAATTGTATATCTATTTTACTTCAATTCCTCATTATAACATCTCCTTTTCTAATCTTAATTATGTAAGTTCCAAAATCTCTAGTTCCACTATTTCCACATTTTAACTCATATAATATCAACACTCCTCCTATACTATCGTTTTATCATCCGAAATAATCTTCTAAAGTTATATATTTATTATACTACTATACTAATTTTTGTGTATTGTGTTGTAGATTAAATCTAGTCAATGATAATAAAATTATCGAAACGTCGATATTGAAATGAAAAAGAATCTTTTTCTTGCTGCTGTTAAATCAATACAATTTTGTCTAAAATTATTGCCCATAAACACAAATAAAGATTTTAGCTATTGTTTGTGTATGTATTTGTTTGCCTAATTCATTTAAAGAAATTACAGACGGTTTATATTTTTCAATCATATCTAACAGATCGCATTGGTTAGTGTAAAAGTTTCTGATGTTGTAGTGAAGTATGGTTAATTTGAAGTCGTTTTGGTCTGGTTTCTGAAGTTGTTGATTCCATTTACTAAATAATTCAGTGCGTGAATACGTCCAGCACCAATCTTCAATAATTTGCTTTCCCGCACGTATTGTTGTTTCGTTTAGACCAGCGGCAGCGTTCTTCAGCTGTTGTTGTAATTCATGGTATTTGTATATATTGAACTGGATCATTTTATTGGATACGATTATTAATGTTCGAGAGAATTTGTGTCAAATTAGTTGTTGGTCGTTGTTTTTTGTGTGGAGGTGTTTGAAAGGTTGTCGGGTTGTATTTATGCAGTATGTTGTGTATTATTTCTCTGCATGATGTTGTGTGTGGACGTTTTTGAGCGAGTGGTTGTTCTTTGGACTCTAAAATTTCATCAATAATTTTAGATAACTCACCTATTGCTGGTACAATTGATTTATCGATTCGTTTTTCAAGATTTTGTATTCTATCATTGTATGTATTCAGCTTCTTTGATAAATCGGTGATTTGAGATGTGATTGTTGATGTAAAGCTTGATAATTGATGATTGATTGATTCTGACATTGCCAGTATCATTTGTTCAACATTTTCATGCTTTTTTGAGGGTTTTGATGATGCTACATTTGCGTACAATGGTTGATTTTTTATGTAGTTGTTAGTGTATCCTGGATTTGATTGTAAGTTGGAATTTATTTGATGCGATCGGGGTGAAAGTGGCGGAAATGTTGATGTATTGTAGATAAAATTGTCCTGGTGTTGTTTTATTAGCAGTTGAGCGCGTTGCACTTTTACCTGTTCGGAAAGCTGCTTTCTCCTTTGCTGGACAATTGGACATGATGAGTGACCTGAATAATGATGTTGTTGACAATTGACGCATTTTATTTCATTGGTACACCCTTCGGTTAGTGGATGATGTTGACCACATCGAAAGCACAATTGTGGACTTGTGCATTGACTTGTAAAATGATCATGCTTGAAGCATTTTCGACATTTATTAATTTTTATTGGTGAGAAATATGGTCGGATGCGAAGTTTCATACAATTTATATCGATTTCACCTTGATTCAAAAGTTGCTTAACAGTCTGTGTCGACATAAAATCGGCACGTACAACATTCATCGGTCTACCTTCACGTGTTACAAGACGAGTTAACTTTCTTAATGTTACATATTTTTCTTGTAGCTCTTTTGTTGTTTCATCTTCATTCCAAGTTGATTGAAAATCATGTATAATTAATGAGTATATTGAAGGTAGAATCTTTGGATATTTAATTATATAGTTGGTATTGGAGATTCTCTCAGGCCATCTTTCTTTTTCGAGTAAATCGTCAAGAGTTGAAGCATTTCGTGGAAAGATTAGAAGTACGTTTTTGTATCCGAATCGTCCAATAATATCTATATTTCTATTATTTTTAGTTCTCCATTCTTTAATTAAATCTTCTATCAATTTCCTATCCGTTTTGTTATGAGTTGTTTTGAATTCGATTGTGATTGGTGGATATTCGTTTCGTTGCGTTCTTGAAATTTGTTGATTAGAATTGATATTCATTAGCGAAATTTCTTCGGTTGGGATAATGACTGTTTCATAATCATCTGATTCCTCACCTTCAGATCTTACTCTTTTGTTAATCCTAGGTGTCTGAGGACCCGGATTTAAGAAATAATCTGTTGATGATTCATCGTTTATATTCATGTTGAATGTTTATTTATATCTTTACTTCGTGATTGGATAACGCACAAAAATAAATTTATAAGACACGTCTTATCGCTACACTGACTAGAGGAAGAATGACCAACACACGATCGATCAGCATCAGGTAAGAAATAATAATCACGAGTAAAACAGAGAAAATATAAATCATATTTTAGTCATAAGTGCTTCACACAATGGATCAAAATTAATTCCAGCTTGCTTGCCCACTCCCAATCCGTCATCGCCTAATTTTGCATCACGATTTCGCGCAGATGTTGTACAACTGGTCAAAGCAAGCAACATTCACAAACATAGCGACACGTGCTATAAGTATTGGAATGCTAACAGAGGCGACAAGAAAAGTTGTCGAATGCGTATGCCACGAAAGTTAGTACCCGTTTCAACGATTGATCCAGGCACTGGTCATATCTCTATGCGACGATCAGATCCAATGATCAATAATTTTAACGAATATCTCATGGCAGCTTCCCGTTCTAACATGGATATTAAATTTATTTGGACTGGCAATGATGCAAAGGCTCTTGTTTATTATATTACTGATTATGTAACAAAGATGAGTCTCTCTTTTCACGATACGTTTGCTCTTGTACAAAAAAGCATTACATCAATTATGAATTCGTCGCATCAAACAAATAATGAAAATGCAATTGAAAAATCACGGAAGCTCGTTTTACGCTGTTACAATACACTTGCTTCTCAAGAAGAGCTATCTGGAGTACAAGTCGCTTCTTATTTCATGAATTGGAATGATCATTATACAACACACAAGTTTGAAGGTCTCTATCTAATCCAAACTGAGCGATATTTACAAACCCAATTGAACGAAATACGCTCGAAGCAAAAATTGAAACGTTCAATGCAAGGTCAGCACTTTTAATTTCATCGTTTAGTAATAATAATTATTTTAAAAGAGTGATCACAGAACAGTATGAGAAGAGGAAGAGAGAAATAGGAAAAAGTTATCTTTAAAACTTGAGTTGTTAGATACTTTGTTCATCGAAAGAATGGTTTTATATATTCAAACTTTTCAAGGTGGCAGAATTGAATAGACTTGGTAAAATTCAAGTAGAGTATAGAACGACTACATTGTTTAAACTGTATAATAAAAAAGTCTTCTAGTGTTAGTTTTGTTGCACATGCGAATGAGAGAGGTAATGGGAATCATTTGAGTTACAGTATAATAATTCAATAAAAACATAAACATTGTTTTTTTTGTACAGACGTGATCAACGATGATGTATATGACGATGACATGATTGACAATGAAAACAATGAAGAAGAGCAGTTTCAAATTCAATCAACTGAAAACGACAAAAAATACGTACTCGTTAACACAAGAATGGATTATCAATATCGCTCCGATATTCTTAATGAGACATGTTTATATGACTTTGTCAGCACATTTTATAAGAAAAAAATGAACGCAACGGATATGAAATATTTATCCAAGACTGCATCGTCAATGGAAGAAAGTATAAATAAAAAAGGGCGACCACCTAATGAACGTTATCCTTTCCAAGAACAGCATCCACAAACAGCAACACATCTATTGATGAAATACAGTGAGCATCATGTACCGATTCTTTATGGTCCACAAATTCCTCGACGGGATCGTGACGATACTCAAGAACGATATAATCGAGCTCTTCTTACACTTTTTGTACCATGGCGTATCATTACGGATCTTTGTGACGTCAATCAGACATGGGAGGATGCTTTTAAATCTCGGCAAAATCATATTTCTCTTCATTCACGGCAGGTCATAGAAAACATTCAACTTTTACATGAATGTAAAAAAGATCGCGATGAACATTTACTTCAAGTAATTGCTGAAGCTCAAACTGATAATGACGTGGTCGATTCTGTCCTTTTGCCTGCAAATCAAGATGTTCATGGCGGATATGATATGGATGACGGTGAAGACTTATTTGAATTACTAGGCAGTTAAGATGAATACACAACTACAGCCATTAATGCCGGCAAAATATCAACAGAAGATAAATATATAGAAGAAACCATCGAAGCAGTCGAGAATGTTGGACGATTTAATAATTTGAGTGGTAAGTCTTATTTTTATGTGACCAACAAGATCGAAAGTAATCGTAACAATTTTTGTTGTAGCGCATGGTCAACATTCTTTAAATGCATTCAATGATCATATCGATCAACAACTTGTACCGTTTATTTCTGCAACACCTAATCTTGTTCGACTTAATACAAAATGGCAAGAACAGCTGAAGACTGAGAAAGAACGAGCTAGACGAAGTTTGATCATCGGTAACTATGACAAACTAGATGACACATTGGATTTATATGCTGCAAAAGATGCCGTTGTAACAGTGGTGAATCCGAGCAATTATAATAAAAACAATCATGAAATTGATGCTTCGATTCTTCCGGTGGTTTCGGTTACAACTAACTTTCCCACTCAAAAAAGCATTGCGGATGAATTTACATTGAATAAAGAACAACGTGCTGCATTCATGATAATAACAAGTCATCTTGATGGTGATAGTCGATGTCGTACAGGTACTTTTATAACATAATTTATCAGAAATTGAAATATAAAGAGTACTTTTAGGCGATAATAACGGACAACTTATTATGTGCATACCTGGATGCGGCGGTACAGGCAAATCACAACTTATTCGTGCTCTCAGAAAATACTTTCTAATTACAAAGAGAATGCAAATGATGCGAAAGCTTGCACCAACTGGAATTGCTGCTGCTGAAATAGGTGGGATGACAATTCATTCATTTTTGGGTGAACAGCGTAATTCCGGAAAGCCACGAACTATAAAACCGGGTGATTCAAAATTGGAACAAGGATGGAGACTCGTCGAATATTTATTAATCGATGAAATGAGCATGGTTGGTTTAAAACTAGCAGGACTCAATCGAATTATTTGCGCTGCAAAGCACGCCGATCCTCAAGTTCCATTCGGCGGTGTAAATGCTATCTTCTTCGGTGACTACTTACAATATCGGCCTGTGTATGATGCACCGTTACACACCGATTTTTCATTACCGTCGAAAACAAAATCAAGCAAATCTCTCAATGAAAAAGAAATTCAACAACGTGTTGCACGTTCTTTAATTCTTCAAATCAACTGCGTTGTAAAACTTACTCAACAGATGCGAACGGAAGATATACGATATCTTCAATTGCTCGAACGACTTCGCCATGGACAATGTAGCTACGACGATTATGAATTATTGCTGACGCGAGTTGTTGGACAACCATCAATAGGCTCTTTACGTGATTCACCTTGGAAAAAAGTATGTTTTATTTTTTGCTTTCAAAAATGTTCTATTTTCGTCTTTTTAGGCTCCGATTCTTGTGTTCCGAAATGAAGTGCGAACACAATTGAACAACAAAGCAGCAATTCACAAAGCAACAGAAATGGGACAAGGTCCCATGGTATGTGTCGCTCAAGACACTTGCAAAGGCAAACCAATTGAAGATCCGGCATTCATTAAAAAACTGTTACAATTATCCGATAGCAAAACGGAGCACTTACCAGGTCTGTTACCTTTGGTTCCTGGAATGCCTGTTATTTTAACACAGAACATTGCTATTGAACTGAATCTCATCAATGGCATGAATGGAATTTTTCGACAGCTTGTCTATGAAGAAGATTCTGTGTCAACTGATGCTCTTTTGGGAACATTTCCGAACAACACACGATACATCCATAGACCTTTATACACATTGATTGAAATTAGCAGGGCGAAGATTGAATGCAATCTTGAACAACTCCAACCAAATCTCGTTCCAATACCTTTAATGGAACAAACATTTCGCATTGATATTTCCGATGTTCTACCAAAAGATAAGAGACCAAAATCAAATCGAACGGTAATTCTATCAATCAAGCAGCGCGCATTACGACTTGTTCCAGCTTATTGTATTACAACACATAAAAGTCAAGGGCAAACTTTGAATAATGTTGTAATTGATTTGAAATTACCAAATGAAACTGATGACATTGCAGCAGTTTATGTACCTTTGTCACGTGTTAAACGCTTGGCTGATTTGGTCATTTTGCGATATTTTGATTACAAAGTATTATTAATCAAACCAAGTAAATCTCAACTTGCCGAAATGGAAAGACTAGATAAACTATATTCAGCAACACAACTGCGTTTTTCTGAATGGTGATAATGTTTTCTTTATAGTATGCAAAGTTTTGATTACACTTATTAATACATATGTTTTCATCTTTGTAAAGCGCGTTAAAGTTTTGTTTTTATTGTGCTGATTTTTGTAGCACATCTCTTTTCTCTTTTTTGTTTACACGTTTCACTCTATATTCTAGTTATTTCACAGTTGCTCTTGCTCTCGCTGTATTACTATTGCATATTGTATAGAATTCGATTTTTTTTCATTCTTTAACTATATAATGAAATGATGTTTATCAAATATTTCTCCTGTTTCTACTCATTTACACGTTCATTATTGCTAATAAATCAATTATACTTCAGTGCTATTGTTGAACCAAAATTTTTAATCTAAAGATTCCTGCAAACATTACGTGAGCACATATTAACATATCAAATTACCGTAATTTCTATTGTGTCACAAGCGTTTAATAATTATAATCCACTTAGATATAAATAACTTGGGTCTCATTGCAACTTTTAGCTGACCAATGAGCTTTATTTTATATCATTTCTATACAAAAAGACAAAACATTTTCTTTCGCTACAATTCAAAAGCAATTTGTGTCGTTTTTCACAGATAGAATGGATAGATCAGTTCTGTCACTATGAGTACTTACAAAAAATACTTTTGCCCCACACAGTCGAGGGCTAAGTGAGTCGAAGCGACGAGCGTTACTTGATTTTACACTTCTGTGGAGTTTTTCTACAAATTAATTTTTAGAAAGCTAAGTAAAAAAGAAGTGACCGAATAAGGATTCGAACCTTAGATGTTTGAACAAAGAAGTCATCACTCTTACCACTGAGCTATCCAGTGTTGTTAGATAGTTGTAAAAACTTTAAAACAATGGTTATGGATATCAGAGGGTGGACAAGTAAAAGTACAGCAAGTATAAGTACGAATACTTTTTACTTAACAAGCGTACTTCGGACTTTTACTGAGTACGAATTACTTAGGTACAACTGTACTTAGTACCAGTACAAAGTACAAAAATACTTAAGTAATGGTACTAAGTACAGATGTACTTACACGAAGATACTAAATGCGAATATACTGAACACCTATGCTGATAGCTGTGTATCCACTGCGCCGACAACACTGTCGTTGGGTCTAAACTGACGCCGAAAATACTTATGCATTGCTACTCACTGAGACAGTGTCCTTCACTGCAGCCTGACTACATGAATCGATGTTCAGAGGGAAACTGACCAAGGGGGAAACAGCAGACTCCATAGCTCCACCTGACTCCATTTTCATGCAGTCACTACCCGTAACTTGCATTCCCAAAACAGAACACTAGTGCTCAGTATCCGGAAGTTCCATTCACAGAACACTAGTACTCAGTATCCGGAAGTTGCATTCTCAGAACACTAGTACTCACTATTCCCAAGACAGAACACTAGTGCCCAGTATTCCCAAGAGAGAACACTAGTGCTCACTATTCCCAAGACAGAACACTAGTGCTCAGTATCCGGAAGTTGCATTCTCAGAACACTAGCTAACAGAACACAACTGAAAAATAAATATGACCAATCAGCAACAGCGTTTAAGTACATTTGTACTAAGTACCGATACTTACTTGAATTCGTGCCCAGTACCAGTACGTAAGTACAGCTCGCAAGTACAAGTAAATTTACTTGTACTGTCAAAATCGGACCTGGTACTTAGGATCTTCAAGTAAAAAAGTACGATAGTACCAAGTATTGTACTCAGTATCCAGTCTCTGATGGATATTAATCGATCTTGTTGTATATAGAATATATCCGCTGGAAAAAGAATTGATCCACTGGAGGATTAATTTAACTTAGGGAGTTAACTGTAGGTGAATGACCATATAGAGTATTGTGAATAGATCCACAGACAAAAAGATGATCCTGTAGGAAACTATTTTCCCCATAGTTATTATAGCAACCTCTGTTATATAATAATATTGTTAGAATAAATCCGGTTGATAAAATCGATCCAGGGATAGTTTACATTGTAATGTGTATTGGTTTATATTATTTAGAAGATAATTGTTCCACGTTATAGCACATGGAAAAAGATGCCGGAACTTTTAAAAAATCTAATAAATTCAAAAAAAAGTAAATCCCGGTAACCCCTCACATATAGTGACTACACGTTTGGCTTACGGTTCACTCCTTTTTTTAAAGAATTCCCGAATTACGCACGCATAAAACGTGCAGCGTCGGACTAGAGGGTAAATGATTTATTGAGTAAAGGAGTAAAAGATAAGGGAACATGGTTTAATCATCTTGATTACTAGTTTGAAAGATTTTTGGAAGTTTTCTTAATTGAGCATTCGATGCAAACCAAATATAGAGCAAGTGTTACGAAATGTAGAAGCAGTTTGCAAAACGTTCTTAGATATTAAGAAACTCTGGCATCAATCTTAGTGCCATTTGCAGATATGAGTGCAAATATGTTTGCAAACGTTTTCGTTACTCGTAAATTTGTCGTTGAAGAACCAATGAGTAGCTGTTAAGTCGAAATTAGGATCCATCTTTCGATTTTCATCAATTATGGCCTGCAAATTTTCTTTAGCATATGGCAACATCCACTGACGACGCTCACGCATGTTTGTCTCTTCCATCATTCCATCTCCTTTATCTTTATTGTGCTTAATCAGATCCTCGTAGCGAATGTAGAAACCGAGATATTCTTCACATCGTGCCTTTTCTGTGAGTTCAATAAATTTGTCGAGGAACTGTAAGAATACCTCACGTTTCTCGTTACAAAGTTTGAAAAATCGTCGTTGCATTGTGCTATTTGTGCCATCGAAAAATTGAACGGGAAAGAATTGGTGATTATCTCTGCTGTAAGCCCACATGTATGGTATGGATGGAGTAGCCATACTTTTGATTGAAGTTGGCGTCAGATAGGCTATTGACGCGTCACTATCGACTTTTGCCAGGCAATCCTCGACTGAAGAACTTAAGGACATCAGGACTAACTCGTCCGGTTTCAAGATAAAATGATTGTGACTTCGGCTGATACCAATAAATTCATATAGATCAGATTGATTCAGATATATGGCAATGTCGTTTACGACATCATCGAGATGAACCTTATGGCTGTCGTGAATATTTTTCAGATGGTTGAAAGCAGCACATGACCATCTCTGGAACAGACCAGTGTTTTCCAGATTATGTTGATTTATAATAGCAGTAGAGGCCATATCTATGTGGAGAGTGAAAGATTTATCTGATTTTATAGAAAAGTTATATACTTAAGGTATACCAAAAGTAGTGAGAGTGACACTTTAATATTGTATAGTAAACTTAACGACGCTTAGTTTCTATATTGCCTGATAAAGCAAGAAAAGTTCTATCTGCTATGATGTTTGATCATTATTTAAAATTTCGATAAGATGTGTTTTGTTGTCATATATGCTGGTTATATAAATACTCATGTAAAAGGATACAAATGAGTATTGGGTTGAATAACTTATGATAAAAACAAGACAGAGAGGTTTGGTTTTCACGGTTGGAAAGAGAAAACGAAGACGCATGGAGTCATATATTACAGGCTTTCGTAATCTTTTTTTGCAAGGCTTTCAATTGATCTTTTTCAGAACAAACCTATTTCGTTGTATTGTTTATAATGAATTGTCAATTCTCAAGTATAAATTCAAACGACGAATCGAGGATCTACAAAGTTCGTAAGACTGAGATGAATATTATGCATTCTAGTTTACTCTTGAACATGACGTTTTAGCAAAAGCTGGGGAAAACCTCACTTTGATGAGTTTTATTTTTTTCGTAAAAAGACACTTTGCTGGCTGTTAGAAAATTTAATAAATACCTCCGAAATCAATATCAGAAAAACTACAATACGCAATTCAATGCATCTTCATCTCGTCTTCTCGACGATGAAAATTGCACTTCTCTGTTGTGTTTTTATCAAAATTTATTCAAAAAGGATTCACTAACATGTATTTGACCGTGATATGAGCGAAGAAAACAGATCTTATCGAGATTTCATTATTGTGATATTACGTAGTTGAACCATAATAAAACAGTATAAGGATAGAACTTTTTTGCTGTCAGATCATATAGAAGCTAAGCCTCTTTAAGTTTACTAAATGGTATTAAAGTGCCATTCTAACCACTTTTGGTATGTCCTAAGTAGATGTTCACTACAAAATGTTTTCTCTAAGAAGATAGCTGTTAAAAAAGCTTTAATCTGCATTAACCAGGGGTGTCGCGAGCAACCAACGATTGGGGGGGGGGGCGGGGTATCCTAAAGAATTTTACTTAAAATTTTTTTTGAGGGGCATTAACGGGTGTTACCAAAACTTCCAGATTTTGAAAGTTTTTCTGGACTTTTTCCAGAGTTTTTAGTGAGTTTTTGCAAGATTTTCGCGATTTTGCAGGATTTTTTCTGAGTGTATTCAAATTTTTCGGGATTTTTTCACGTTTTTTCGAATTTTTTTCGAATTAATCCGGATTTTTTTCAGGGCTTTTCTAGATTTTTTCGGTTGCTTTCGAGACTTCTGGGGAGTTTTTGACGATTTTTGGAGGTCTTTCAGGATTTGTTAGAATTTTTTGGGAATTTTTCGAAATTTTTTCGAGTTTTTATGATTTTGTGTTTTGAATTCCGGATTTTCGAGGTTGACTTCTGGAAACAGTGGGGGAACTTACGAAATTGTGTTTAAAGTACTGAGTCCATGACATATTTCAGTGATATTATCACTGGAAGTCAACACAGTTTTTACGAGTAGGTAGGTAGGTAGGTACATAGCTGAACCAATACAATTATTTATCTAGCCCTGTGGGTAGGTAGGTAGGTAGGTAAATAGCTGAATGCATACAATTATTTATCTACCCCTGTGGGTAGGTAGGTAGGTAGGTAAATAGCTGAATGCATACAATTATGTATCTACGGGTTGTGGGTGCACCAAAGGGTGATGTGTGCATCTCTCGTTGTGGGTGCCGCGCCCGCAATGAGAGATGCACACATCACCCTTTGTGGTACCCGCAACGAGAGATGCACACATCACCCTTTGTGGTACCCGCAACGAGAGATGCACACATCACCCTTTGTGGCACCCACAACGAAAGATGCGCACATCACCCTTTGTGGCATCCGCATACACTTAGATTCGTAAGTGTATGGGTTCAGCTATTTACCTACCTACCTGTGACGATTTTTGATGGAAGAACAGCTAGCGCTGTTGGTACTACGCTTTATTTCATTTCTTCAATCATCAATCATCAATCGCATCGCTCTGATGAAAAGCAGACGCTTATATAGGCAAGCATCAGAGAGACAGAGAACGAAAGAGGAGAAGAATCAACAGCAAGGACATTAAAGCAGCAACAAGATCATACAGATAATATCAATGATAAAATGATATAAAAAGATATACTAAATGCTAGTCACGTAGCACCATCGGCGGGCCAGCATCTCGTATGAAGGTGCGGGAATAAAAAATAATATCAATTTTTTTCAACAGCAAGCCATGTTTTTGCTGTGGCAAATCCAGATATGCAGATAGATGTATATCAATAATCATTTTTTCATATGGGACCAGTGGCAGATAGTGGCGTAACCAGGGGTGGGACTTAGCCCCACCATCAGGATTTTAAGCCCTACCACGTTTGCTTTCAAGTAACTTAGCTTTTCAATAAAAATAGTCGGATTTTGTTGAAATAAACAATTACTTTTTTTTTGTCTTTATTATATTTTGATCATACGCCTGAATTAACTGGTCACTCATCAAAACTATCATCCAAGGAGACCAAAGTTTTCAAAAACGCGTTTAAGTGCATAAAAAAAGAGAAAATGTGTCGTGTTTTTCATACTCAAGAACTCTTGTTATGATCCACTCACTGATAACAACTATGAAAAAAAGACCACTTTTTCTCTTTTTTATCACTTACATGCGTTTTTCAGCTGAAAGCACGATTAAACGCAGAAGCAGAGCGAAAATTGGAGTTTTTCGCTCATAATCAGAAGCCCCGATTTTCATCCGAACATGCCCACTTTTTCTCGATGTTTTCGCAAATTTTCGAGTTTGATATCTGGCAACACTGCTTGAAACGTTAAATTTCAAACATTAATACATGTTTTTATTAAAACGATGCATTTTCAAAAATATTTCTAGGAGATGCTGAGCAGTGTTGCCAGATGTCAAACCCGAAATGCAGGAAAATTACGGAATTTTTTTCTCGAAATGCGAATGATCTGGCAACACTGATGCTGAGTCTCCTACCCACCCCCTGGCCCCGCCACTGGGTATGGCAATACATTTCTCAGGTGTGGCAATTGCCACCAATTGCCTCGTGGTGGCCCGCCGATGCGTAGCACCTATACAATGCCCTTCATGGGGATCGTTACACTACCCACCTACCCACAGGGGTAGATAAATAATTACATTGGTTGAGCTATTTACCTACCTACCTACCTACTCGTAAAAACAAGTGTGTTGACTTCCAGTGATAATATCACTGAAATATGTCATGTATTGGTTCGGTTCGGTTCCTCATAACATGAAACGAATCCCATCACTGATAGAGAAAAAGAAGTTAAAAGAAAAGAGCAGTACGTTGATATTAAAAAAATGGCGCACTGCAGAAATGTCGAAATGAAAAATATCGAAAGGAAAAACATTGAAAAATAACTATCGGTTTATTGTTGCTTTCTTATGATTCTACTAGTTTAGATTTTAAACCGATAGTAATGGGGATGAAATGACATATTATCAATTTTTTCTGTTCCCTTATATTTTGCCGCTTCTAGAATGTTAGCATTACAGCCAGGGGTACCCCGACCGGGGGGGGGGGGGGGTGGGGGGGGGGGCGGCCCCCCCCCC